AACCATTAAAAAATATCAATTCGTAAAGAAAATTTTGAGCTTAATTGACTAATTTATAAGCGTTGCATGGGTACTGGTCATTTATGGTGTGGTCAATTGGCAACATAAATAATAAAATAAACTTTAATAATTAAGCTTTAATCAATTTTTTATTAGCAAAATTAATTAAATTTTTAATTAATGGCGGCTTTAATTCATTCTTACAGTTAGAATTAATTTTTATTTCTATTTTAAGTATCAAAATATAGGAAATTTGTACAATTTTGCGAAATGAATACATGTATTGTCAGAATTTATTTTAATTATACGTTAAAATATTTATAAATATCAATTCTTAAAAAAAAAAAAAAAAAATGGATATTTTGAACTTAATTGATTAATTTGTGTGCATTGCATAGGTACTGATCGCATACATTGTGATCATTTGAACAGCAAAAATAATAAAATCAAGTTTAGAAATTGAGTTCTGAATGATATTTTAGAAGCAAAATTAATTAAACTTTTAATTAGTCATAGATCTAATTCATTTTTACAATTAATGCTAATTTTTAATTTAAATTTAAAATTGATTTTTATGAAAATCCTATAATTTGTAAGAATTTTTGCATAATAAACTGGAAAATAAACCCTACTATTATCAAATTTAATCTTAATTAAATGTTAAAAAATTAAGAAATATCAAAACATTAAAAAAATAGATATTTTGAACTTAATTAATTTATAAGCTTTGAATAGTACTGGTCACATACATCGCGGTCATTTGACATTTTAAACAATAAAAAAATGCTTAGGCTTAGGCTTAGGGTGTACTTAGGCTTAGGCTTAAGCATTATTTCAAATCTAAAAATTGATTTTGGTGAAAATTTTATAATTTGCAAGAGTTTTTGTATATTAAACGTGGAAATAACTTCTAGTTTTATCAATTTTGATTTTAATTAAATGTTAAAACATCGAAAATTATCAATTAATTAAAAAAAATGGATATTTTGAACTTAATTGATTAATTTGTGTGCATTGCATAGGTACTGATCGCATACATTGTGATCACTTGAACAGCAAAAATAATAAAATCAAGTTTAGAAATTGAGTTCTGAATGATATTTTAGGAGCAAAATTAATTAAATTTTTAATTTGCCACTGTTCTAATTCATTCTTACAATTGAAATTAATTTTTATTTCAAACTTAAATATCAAATTTTCTGAAAATTCATTAATTTACTAGAATTTTGTATATTAATCTACAAAAAAAAAAAAATGGTAGTAAATATAAAAAACTAGTTTTAAAAAAAATGTTAGTATATTGAAAAATATCAATTCATTGAAAAAAAATGGTTATTTTGAACTTATTTGATTAATTTGTATGCATTGCACAGGTGCTGGTCATCTACGGTTGCTCATTTGATCAGCATAAATAACTAAATAAACTTTAATAATTAAGTTTCAATCAATATTCGACTAGCGGGATTGATTAAATATTTAATTTATCAGGGTTTTAATTCATTCTTACAATTGAAGTTAATTTTTATTTCAAATTTAAGTGTCAAATTTTATGAAAATTCATTAATTTATTAGAATTTTGCATATTAATCTACAAAATAAATAGTAGTAAATATCAAAAACTAGTTTTAAATAAATGTTAAAATTTTGAAAAATATCAATTAATTAAAAAAAATGGATATTTTGAACTTAATTGATTAATTTGTGTGCATTGCATAGGTACTGGTCACATACATCGTGGGATATTTTGAACTTAATTGATTAATTTGTGTGCATTGCATAGGTAGTGGTTGCATACATTGTGGTCATTTGGCCAGTGTAATTATTAAAATAAGTTTTAATAATTTTAAATATCAATGGACTAAATGTATCTGCCTTCTCTAAAGGAGAGGGAAGATTCACTTTATTGAAAATGAAGTGCAGATTCTCAACACTGTTGATCCTTGCATTAACTTTGACCTTTACAATGAGTTTCTCTTTTATGTATGGTTGAATAAACTCAGTAAATTTCCTGCATGTTCCAATCATTCTTTCCGTTGAGTTTCACACATGATTGTACCTTGTAAATGAGCTGCTTATAGACATCTTTGATAAATTTGATGACCACCGAACCAAAAGTAAAACTAAACCATAACAGAAATCAGATATAGGTGCTGATAAGAAGTATGCATGGTGTGACGTAAAACCTATTTGCTGCAAGCATAATGAGCCAAGTTCAATCTGCTTTGAGTAGTAATCTTCTGTGTATTAGTAACCTTGTCTTTCTTCTGTTTTTCAATTATTCTATCTATATTGTCGCTGAAAAATTTGCCTAACTTAGGAAATATTTCTTTTGCTGCGATTTTATAGAAACTACTGCACGAATGAGTTTGACTAAGTCAGCAAAAAAAAAAAAAAAAAAAAAAAGTTCTTTTAGTTTTTCTAAGCTACTGGGTTCAGATTGAGATAGCCTCCGTAAATTTTGGCACTCAATTTTAACTTTGGACAAAGGATTTTACGGTCAATGGAAATAGCACTGTTGCTTTTATGCATCCTCTCTATTAACTTTAGCTGTCAACTATCACCTTTCTTTTTGTTACTAGGAGTACGTGTTTATGCTAATGATTCTTTTATTATATTGTGGGAGATAGTCTCATGTCTAATTTTTCTTCTAGAAGACCCATTTGTTCAACTTTATCTTCTACGTTTAGTTGACTCTGATCTAGTACTTATAGCGTATTCTCAGTATTCTTCAATCTATGTAATACTTTTTATAGAAACTTGTAAAATTTCGTATTTGTTCATTTTTTTTTTAGAAAATATCTGTTTAATATCGTAACAGATTAATAATAACGTTAAAAGTATATTTACTTAAAGCACAATAAAAAATTGTGCCTTTACCGGATTTTTCTACTGAAAATCTAGCATTTTATTAGAAAATTAAATTGTAAGACTGTAGAAAAGGTATTCAGTGTTTATTTTTCTTGACTGTAATGCAATATAGAGAGATTATTAAGTACTAAAATTAAAGTTACGCACTATTTTAAAATTTATGGAGGTTTCGTAATGCACTGCTTAGACCTGGTTGTTTTGATCCACACATTACTATTTGTTTGCCCGATATAAAGAAGATATTTAATACATATATAAAGAAGATATCAATAGCACCAGTGAAGACAGTTGCGAGAGGGACACCTGGTTTTGGGGGGGAGAAGGGGAGGGGGTAGTGACCTAGTAAATTTAGTGAATGAAAGAGCAGAATTAAGAAGACTGTTACTATGGGTAGCTTTGAATATGCACGTAATGATGGGCTGGAAAGACGGTCTCTAGTGACGACTCTGAGAGGATCCGAATACCAAAAGCTATTGTGCAACAGTCGAACTCAGAGTCTTCAAATGGCAAACTTTCTGCGTTTGCACACACCCAATTAAAATTAAGCTGATTTGAGTTTATGGCTTTATTACGTCCTCTACTTAGCATGTTTTGATTTATATCACATACTGTAACCTGAACACTCGGCTCTCTTCTTACTATTCTTATTGCTATGTCTCCCAATTTTGACGACTTGGTGTCTTTGCCAGGAGTTGGGAGAAAGAGTGCTAATGTATTTTTAAATTCAGGACTTGGCATTCCAACATTGGCAGTTGATACTCATGTTTTTAGAGTGAGCAATATAATTGGCCTTGTGAAAGAAAAAGACGTGTTCAAAACAGAGAAATCTCTTTTAAATGTAGTTCCAAAAAAATACCTACTCTATGCTCATCACTGGCTAGTTTTACATGGTAGATATGTTTGCAAAGCACAAAAACCCTCGTGTAAAACATGCATCCTGTTGATAATTCAAGCCAGCCAATAGCATACTCCCCATTTTGTTTAACTATGGACGCAAGATAATTGCTGTTTTTATCCTCTAATAGCGAATCTTCAACAATTGTTCCTGGAGTTACAATTTGCACTACATCACGTTTTACTATAGATTTATAGCCCCTGTTTTTTGCTTCATCAGCAGTTTCTAACTGATCGCAGATTGCTACTTTGAATCCTAAATCTATTAACTTATGAAGGTAAGATTCACTACTATGCGCTGGAACTCCACACATTGGTACCTCTTGCCCATACAAATTACCTCTCTTAGTTAGTACTATATTCAGCAACTTCGCAGCTTTAATAGCATCATCAAAAAACAACTCATAAAAATCTCCCAGCCTATAAAATAACAGATGATCCTGATATTGAGCTTTTAGGTTCAAATATTGCTCCATCAAAGGAGTATTTTTTTCTCTTACGAAGTTCATAACATTTTTAAATATGTTGCGTTAGCAATAGCTTCAACTTTATTATATGGATAACATAGAATTTACATAGGAATACTTTATACTATGCAAAGGCAATACTACTATTTTTTTAGAAAATTGTGCATATGCAATAGATCTGTGGTAGCCTCTTCTATAAGCCATAACTTATAACTAAAATTATATAGAATTTTGGCTTTTTGAAAAGCCCAAACTGCCATTTGCGGAAGGTATACATGTAATCTTTTTGCCAAATTGAATCACAGCGTAGAAATAGCAACCAGAGAAAAAAAACAGAAACCCTTGCCTATTTCTATCTTTGGGCAAAATTCCCTATTTTATTGTGAAATGGTGTACCTTTGAATTGTATAGCAAACTGAAAATACTTTTTTAATATTTTTATCAACAAATTAAGTAACATATTATTCGCTAGTAGACAAAATTGTTCAACAGTTAGGTTTTTTGGACGCTCCCCTATTAACTCTGGCGATTTTAAATCACCGAAGTTACATGCTATATCGTAGTCATAGCCAATCTTCATCTCACTTCCCTCTCCAGCGACAACAGAGACCTGATTAGCAAAGGTTGATTTACTAAATGAGCCGATAAAACCAGAAACAGTAGAAGGAATTCAATATTTGCAATGAAAGACACCCAGTTGTTGAAGTTAACGATAAGTTCATTGCAAATAGCATCAATTTGTCTGGTATACATCTAATTACTGGCCCTAATATGGCTGAAAAAAGCACTTTCTTGAGGCAAAACGCTCTCATTGCAATTTTAGCTCATATGGATTCATTTGTGCCAGCAGATAGTGCACATATTGGAGTGAATGATAAGATATTCAGCAGGGTTGGCGCAACGGATAATATAACGGCTGGTTATTCCACCTTCATGGTGGAGATGATTGAAACAGCAACCATAGTCAACCAAGCAACAGACCGTTCCTTGGTAATACTTGATGAAATTGGTAGAGGAACAGGAGTGTATAATGGCTTATCTATTGCTCAGGCGGTAATTGAACATATTCACAATGTAAATAAGTGCCGCGCTATCTCTGCAACTCATTATACTAAAGTAAGCAAATACTTGAAAAGTGTCAAGTGTTTCTGTGTGAGAATAAAAGAATGGAAAGAGGAGGTGATCTTTCTACATGAAGTAGTTGAGGGCGTTGCAGATGAGTCATATGGAACACATGTGGCAAAACTTGCTGGTTTTCGATGCTAGTACACATAGGGAAGCATTATTGCTGCTTAAGGAAAGCTCCAATGATTTGATATATAAACACAAAGTTATGAAACAAGCATACTCTTCTTCAGCGGACAATCGTAGTTTTAGTCAGAGCAAATTGAACATTGAAAATTATTTACTAAAAAAAAAAAAAATAAAAATTGATGTGGAAAACGAATGAATTACTTTGCGAAGTGTAAAGTAAGTTTAATTGAAAAGATAAATAAAATAATCTCTAATATGGTAATAACTACAGCCAGTGCAGTAGCAGAGGTTGAACGAATGTCTATTTTGTTGAGCCAAGTAAAGCATGAAACTCTACTAACAATGCAAGTTCTAAACGAGCATAAGCCCCATTCTAATGCACCTTTACACCACTCATGGATAAAACCTACAGTAAGTATTGCAAGAAATATCATCATAGACCAAAATCCACAATAGCTTATTTTAGATAAAGAAATAGCGCAAGGAAAAAGAAAAGCAATTTCTAAGTCAAATATCATAAATAATATTGAAACTAAATAAAACTTAATGTCAAAATTTTTTCTTGCTCTTGATAAAGGGTTAAAACCGCACTCATATGTAGAAAGTTTTTCACTATCTGGTTTGCTTATTGCAAGAAACATAGGCAATACACCCAAAGCAAGAGATAGTATAATTGACACGCAGATAAAAATTGCTATAGCTAAATATTCACTCATTTAATAAAACTCGTAGAAAGCAACACTACAAATTTACATGCTTTCCTAATCTTTTATCACCTAAAATATCCATATGAAAGTGCGGCACAACTTGTTCCCCGTTTCACCGCAGTTAGTAACTAATCTATATCCTGTTTTTTCTAGGTTATATTTATAAGTTATCTCTCTTACAGTTTTAAAGAAGCCTACTATTTCCTCCGCAGAAGCTTTAAAAATAAAATCATCATATGAAATATATTGACTTTTCGTTACAACTAAAATGTGAAATGGTGCATCAGGATACTTATCGTAAAATGCCAAGACATCCTCATCCTCATAAACCTTCTTGCAACTCACCCCTTAATATTTGAGCAAAGATGTTATTGCTATCATAGTATTTATTGCACATGCTTTAGAGGCACGACCACCTTTTTCTCTTCCTGGGTTCAGAATAGGTGTAGATGAAGGGCTCTCCATTTTACTGTTAGAGACATCTCCTTCAAAGCGTAGCCTTCTGCCCTTTATGTCCCCTACCAGATGTTTTACCTTTACCACAACCAATACCTCTAACTATTAATTTAGGCTTTTTTTCTTCAATAATTCAGTAAATATAGAGTTTAACTTTATAACATTATTCATACTTTACCTGTTTCCGACTACCTCGCCAATCTTTTTACTTCTTTTGCTCGCTACTTGACGAGGAGATAACATATTATCAAAGACCTGTACATATAATACTGCACATATAACGTTATGAGGATTATTCGATCTAGTAGATTTAGCTACTACATCTTTTATGCCCAACACCTCAAAAACCGACCAATCGATCCCCCAGCAATAATGCCTGTTCCAGCTCTAGCTGCTCTTAAAACTATTTCACCAGAGCAAAATTTAGCCTTAATATCATGGTGCAAAGTTCTACCTTCACGTAAATACACTCTAATCACCGATTTTTTTGCAGCATTTACAGCTTTTATCCTCCTATAGGAGGAATTAATGCAAAGCATTACTTATAAATTCTTTTACAGTTTCATAATTATTAGTTTCGCAGCGGTTGTAACATAATTCACTATTTTCTTTTGTATTTTTATGTTAACTGTAAAATTCTTTTCTTGAGAAAGGCAGCTAACAAGCAGTTGTTGTCAGTAAATCTTCAGCTACAAATATTTAAGAAATCCACCAAGTAAGAAAAAGACAAAAGAAGCCCTAGTTAATATCTATTTAAAAACACTAGCGTTTTTTTATGTTTTAAATACTTAATAATCGCGACTTAGTTGTTTTTTATTGCAACTAACCTTTAGTCATAAATGTTTTAGAAATTTACTAGGCAAAAAAGGCAAAAGATATATTGTGGTAGATAGTATTTATTCTCTAATCCTGCAAATTAGCATATTATACTCCTAAACGCTTTATAAGCGAGTTTCAACTTATATAGGTAAAAAATTAGAAATATTGTGAAGACATAAGGTAATATAGTGCAAAAAATTAAACATAAGATGCTAACTATATAACACTTTATTATTTTAATCTGCACAGATTGAAGGTAACTTAATACCTCCAGTATCAGGATAAGGGGGCTAGCGAGGTTTGTTTTTTAATTGCATATTTTTTCTTAAGTAGTTAAATGGCCATTTTGCAATGAATTTTGTCAGTAACCACACTAAGTTTCTTGGTTGCTATGCATCAAAATTCAGCAGCTATATATAACTTGAATTTATTTATGGTGTGCATTATGAGGTTGTCTTTCTTAGATTCAAAAATTACTGTCTACTTTACTCCATGAGAAGATTATGCTCAGCAAGTAATTAATACAATAGATCAATCTGAGAAATCCATTTTGGTTCAATAATACAAATTTACTCTTGAGAAAGTGGCTAATTCTCTAGTTGAAGCAAAAAAACGTAGCGTTGATATTAAAATTATTCTAGATAAATCATAGCACATTCAAAACATAGTGTTATGCACAAGTTATTTGAAGAAGGAATACCAATTTGGATTGATTACAATCCAGAAATCGCTCATAATAGAATATTAATTATGATGACCACAAGGTTATTACAGGGTCGTCCAATCTCAGTGATACAGCTGAAGAAAGAAATGCTGAAAAATTACTAACTATTGCGAGTGGGCGGTGCTGGTGGGAAAGCTGTGAACAACATGATCCAGTCTAATTTGCAAGGAGTGAATTTTGTTGTAGCAAATACCGATGCTGAAGCACTAGAAAAATCATTATGTGATAAGAAAATTCAGTTAGGTATTAATTTAACTAAGGGTCTTGATGCTGGTGCTTTGCCTGATGTTGGCAAGGGTGCAGCAGAAGAGTCAATGATGAGATAGATTATGGAGCATATAAAAGATAGCCATATGCTTTTCATCACGGTAGGGAGAGTGGTGGCACT